GGCACTTGCTTGGAAAAGAATAGAAGTTAACAAACAATATACTACTAATGTATGTTTTAAAATACGTAAAATTAACGGCATGTTAATATGTCCTTATATACAATGTGAACTGTTATTATTAAAAGTTAAGAAATACTGTGATATGTTAAAAGTGAAAAATGTTAGAGTAATGCCAAAAAATTTTAACTTATTGGTGTGACTGTAAAAAGAGCAAATTATTGTGAATATGTGCTAAAGGTTGAATGAATGTAGTTAGGCTCTGTAGTTCTGACGCTACACTTCAGAGTTAGCCACTTTTCAGAATATAATAGTACCTTATATTCCTCAGGGTTTTAGAGATGAATATAAGGTGTGTTCTGAGGTCTTCTTATGTTGAATTTTAACACGTTAGTGTTTTGATTGCTGGCGGTAGTGTTGAACACTTGTACATAGACACGCACGTGTTTGGTGTTTTTCTTTACAACACATGTCAGAGAGCACGGGGAGATAATTAAATAACGTCATGAATGAAATAAGAACTTTGAAAGAGAAATATAAGTATTCATGTTACTTGCCATTTGATTGTGTAACATTTCATTAAACTAGTTTTCCTTCCAGATCTCTGGAAGGAACCAGATTCAACTAAGAAACTCCTGTTTATAGATGAGGTACAGATGAAAATTATTTGTCCATGGAGTTGATAATGTAAAAACGACTTTTTTAATTTCTAGATTAGGTAATTTCTAGAGAGAAATGTTTGTAAAAGATTGGCCTCGCGTTAGATTCTAGAGCTAAAAGTTTTCAACAAGGTCATTTTAGACCTCAGTTTCAAACTAATTAACTCTGGCGGGAAGTATGTAAGGATCCTAAGTTTTACTAATGGCCAGAGGTTTAGTCCTCTTGATAATTTTAAACGTATCGTAGTTTTAGCAGCTCTCTGTACTACATACGGATTTTGTTAAATAACGGCCAATCTTAAAGCTAGGCACTTGTATAATAATCCAAAGTTAGTTTTAGTTAGAGTTTTAGTTAGTAGTTTATATTCTTACGTTAAGACCACAAGTGTTGGTCTCTGTATTCTGAAGTTCCGGAAATCTCTGTAAAGATAGAAAAATAAAGGGTTTCGTATACCCTTCCTGTGTGTATTGTCTACTTTACAATTTATTGAACATAGCTTGAGTAAGCTCCCTGTTCCGAGTCAGGACAGTTCATGTTTCCAAAGCAAGTTAAGAGGAACGCAAGTCCTGATAAACTAATCATGAAGAAGAGACATGGAAGTGTTTAAAATCTGACTTAAACATACGGATGAACCATGGAACAATATATTAACTGCAGGACTACGAATGTTTCAATTCTTAGTAGTCTAGGCACACAAAAATTTGCCATTAAGAAATCTTGAGTTTCTCGATTCAAGTATTAGCGAAACAAGTATAAAAGATTAGTACACTGATAGAGATATAGAAGACTAACATGTAGCCATGCAGATTAAGGATGCAAGTATGATATTTAACGAAGAAAACGTACTGAAATTCGGTGTAAAATTAAGAAATGATGTTTTTTCTAAAGTCTCCAAAGGAAATTAATCCAATTTAAACTTCAACTTTGCTACTAAGGGTATTTAGAATTTTTGATTCATATCACTTTTGAAACACCTCAGACATCGTCCCAAAATTTGCTGCCCTCAAGAACTACTTTCTGAAAGAGATAAAACTTTTCTAGAAGCTAAGAAAATTGTGAAATAACATTTATCCAGTGGAAGTTTTCAAATTATCTAACGTATGATAGTGTTAATTGGGATTTTAACCCACTTTCAGTCCCAGATTTTGATGGACTTTGGATGACCGGCCTGAAGCAAATAAAAGCACATCTTAAAAGAATTATTTTCATACAGCTTTTTAACTTCCTGACTTTATAACTCAAATGGAATTGTGTTTAAAAAAGATTAATATCTCTTGTCAATAATCCTAATGACATTAGCTCTCGTACGCACGGGAATTTCATCATAAAGAGTTGCTTTAAATTCTTCACCTGATTAAGAAGGGACAAATTCTAAAATTTAGCTTGCCTGAGCGATGGAAATTAATCCAACATCTTTTTCAAAGATTTTGGAAACTTTGATCATCACATTATTTCTTCCATTTACAATAAAATAGATAACAGCTAAGCCGAACTTAAAGATGGATAATATAATAATAACAATATAATTAATAGTGTTAATGAAAAGAAAATGGCCAGCCTTAAAATAGAAGTTCGCAGAATTATTCGAAATGTATCCAAGCACTCAGAGTAAAGCTTTGGAGAGTAATTACTTTGGAGAATTAACGCCCCTTATTACGAAAATGCCTCGTAATAGTAAGCTTATAGCAATTTCACTGTACTACGGCATATAAATGTGCACTAACTCTCGTTCTTGACGGGAAATTGACTTGGTATTTATTTAGAAGAGTTCAAATATTATCTGGGATAAGCCAATCACAATTTTCTACAAGCTGGTAGTCATGCGACAATAAAAAGTAGAATGGTAAAAACCGTTCGTCAAAAAAAAGTTTAAAATTTAAAAGTTTTGCTTAAAAATCTTTTCTTCCAAGCAATTACTTTGCGCTCCTGTATCCAATAACGCAACTTCTGGGTTAATGCAGTAGCTAGCTACATAGCTATGTAACAAAATGTGGATCACTGGAGGGAATAAATGTTTTTATGAACTTTGTAATTAGTTGAATCTGAGAGTGCCTTATTTCTTTTTGGAGTGGCTGTGTCCTCTTTCGCGATTTATTTTGGCGATTGCCTTTGGTGGGTGACATTTGTTCCTGTTATCAAGACGTCTACTGCCATCGAACCGTGGGCTTTCTTCTGCTCTAGATTTACGAAAATATTTGCTCGCCCTTTCCTCATGTCCTGCTGTGTACTCATTAATAAACGCCTATTTTGGAAATTCACCGCGAATAACTATTCTAGCGTACTTGGGTTTGTAATTCAACAAAATCCTGATTTTCAGGAAACAACCTAGACAGAATTTTTGGATAACCTAGACACAATTTTTGGATTTTTGGATAACCTCCGCATCTGATTTTTTCCATACAATAAGCTTATATTTTTCTCGATATAAACTCAGCCAGTTTTATGACCTTGGTTTGATATCTTTCAAACAGTTCTGCTTCTAATTTCGCTCTTTCACGAAGGGGAATGTTTTCACAAGGGCGGTTTTAAATGTCTCGAGGGAAGAATTCTCACTGCCTGATTCACCGAATTAAAATTTATCGATGCATTTGTATCAACTCAATGCCTGCCCTCGAAGCGCGGCAGTAGCTATCTTGGCCTTGTGTAATTCTGCAACCGGGTAAAGCAGAAAGTGAGAATTTAATTGTTCCAGAAAAGTTACTACCACGTTTCTTTCATCAAAAATAGCTGATGGTTTCATTTACACTCGGGCATAATATATTTAAGATGAACCCAAATTGCTCCATGGGAATTCCTGGTGCCTGTGGAGCCTGCTATTTTACTTTTTTTTTTTTTTTTTTTTTTTTTTTGTGAGGGAACTAAATATTGCCTAGTCTTGCGACATAATCCATAATTTGTTTGGCGCCTTTCATGAGGTGTTTTACATGATATGGAAATATTTACCCTATCAGACGTAAAGAGAATTATTATTGTGTTTAAAGTAACTACAAACCATGGGAAATAAATTAATTTCCTTGTAGTTAGTTAGAAGTTCTGAGTTCTGTTTAAATACAGATTTTTATTAAACAGAATTCAGAACATAAGGGCATGATCTTGTTCTATCAAACACAGCTTGTGGGGACGTAACTAAACAACAGTCAAATTGAAGTTTAAATGTTGACTAGTAGTCAAGGACTATACAATTTAAATCTTCCTCTAAGTTGGCTCAGTAACTGTACCGGCATATCAAATTCAAATGTAGGCAGCGATATACCGCAAAGCTGAATAATTACAACTTATCAGAGCTCGCAGGAACTGAACGTAGCGTGCACCTTTAGGCCCGACACATGCTTCGTGTTAAAATTTAAAACCCTCAGGTTAAATAATATTAGCTAACTCATTTACATCATGATGAGGAAACGGAAAGAAGACGTTACAGTAAAGGCTAATATCATAAATGTCTGGTAAATTTAAATAACAACTTTACATGGTGTAACACAGTACAACTTGCCTCGAGATTTCGATTCATTTGGTTAGAAATTCGGTTTAAATTTAGAATGAAAATTACTTCATTATATCTAGTTTACTTTTTCAAAATAGAAAAATCGATTTTTTAGACGTTAAATGTGTCAAAGGAAACAATCTGTCATTTGTCTGTCACTAATATTGTCGCTACTATAGTTACTATTTGCCCCACGTCTGTTACAGTTTACTTGAGGTATTTGTAACATGTAATTGTAAACATGCAAACTGTAACATGCGTATGGTTTTAAAAAATATCTCTTGTGCCAAAATCTGCAAACTTGCTGAATTTTTTTTAGTATATATGACGGAGAAATTGTTACGCTATAAAAAAATGCCGCTATAATAAAGAAACCATAAATGCATTTAAAAACAGAAGTATCTTTTCAGAAGTTATTACAACTATTATCTAACTCTCCTGCCAAAAGAAAAAGAAATACCAAAGAAAAATTAATTAGAATTACGCAGTCCAAGCAAGGCCAATTATTCAATTAGAGCATATAATTAATGTAATGATATTATTTTCGTAATAAAATATCAGTTACTTATGATCAGTCTCCGGCAGGGCAATCTGATCTCCGGATTTGACATGAGCACTCAGAATGATCAAAGTGCAGTATTAGTCTCTATAACATAGATTAAGTTAATTTTGTTGTATAATATAAGTAGCAAACTTCGGTCTTCATCTGAATCCGATTTTTTAAAAATGATTCAATGGGTTGCTTCAAGATACTTTCAAAATACTTTATCTTTAAAAATAACTAATTATTTTAAAATAATGGAAATGATACCAAACGTATAATTTTCAGTTGATATTTTAGTATTTTTTTTTTTTAACTTACCATTTTAGATTCGTCGATGTTGCTTATCCGCCTCACGTACATATTGACTCTCACTACCACAGGATCTAAATATTATTCATACTAAGTAAGATTTCAAAACACTTAGAAGACTTACATTAACATCTAACTTTTCAGATACTAAGAAATTTCAACCTGGTCATTTAAGTCCCTCTAAAAAATAATGTCCTTTAATTTAATAGTAAACCAAAAATCTTGAATACGGTAACACTCACCAAAAGTTGACAAAAAAGTGAGAAAACAATTGAGAGGCAAATACAATTGAGAAAATATAGTTGGTCAAATAACTCAATGCGGGATGGCAACATAACCTTCGTTTTATGAAAAAGCGCCGCGTGTGCGAAACACAATAAAAGAGGTACGCCTCTTTTCAAGTTCATAAAGTTTACTTACAAGTAATAATTCATAAATGTATCATTTATGTTGTATATGATGGATACTCTTTGGCACTCTGCTGAAACATCTACAAGAATGTTATATTTAAAAGCGCACAAATAAGGCTCGGTTTTGGTTTATTTCATTATTGCAAAGCATACGAGGGCTATCTGCCTCACGCAGCTAAGGAGGGAGATACGAGAAAGAGTATTTTAGAAAAACTGTATTGATACTGTGCCATTTTGCGTATTTTCTATTAAATAAGTTTACCTACTACCATTAAATTATATTGAAATAAATATATACAAAAGATACTTTGTATTATGAACTCATACCTATTTACCAACTTTTCGAGTAACCTATGTAAATAAGCGAAGCAAAGTACGTATACACCAGCTAAAACGTTTATGATGGTCATAGTCAGACATTAATTTTTTTAAATTCTTTTCGCATAAAGTTGTTAAGTTTGTTTGGGAGGAATTTCCAATAATAAAACAGCTTAGATAGAACAGAATATAAAGTAAAGAAAAAGAAAGCTGTTCGAATAAGATTACTTAAATAATAACAAGCCAAAATTAAGTATGTAAATATCAAATATCAAAAATAGTAGCTAATAAAATAATAGTAAAGTAAATAAGTATAAAAATCATATGATTAGCACCAAAAATTAATGTCATATATTTTATTTTTTTACCTAATGTTCATGTTACATGCATATATCAGTTGAGAAGAAAAATGTATTAATTACTTGTTCCATTTTTCCCATCTGGACGAATGCGAAGATCATAATCGCGAAATATGCTGTCTAAAATAATCTTTCGCTCTGCAAATGACGAAGTTCCTGACCTGTAGGATGGTAAATATTTTAGACAAGACATACATCTCCAAGTATATTAAACAAAGTATTGAGGTTTTATAACTGATCGCTGTGATAAGCTGTGAAGATAAAAATTACTTACTGTGCACTGTAACAGAATAAAAGTAAAATTAATAATAGTACTCGAGTTCGAAGAACCATTTTCACACTTGTCAACTTTCTAGAAATGCTGCAAAGGAAATATGTTCCGATTATTCTTTGAGAATGCATTAATAATAATGTACTTTTGATATAAAAACTTTACAAAACCGTAATTTTGTTACACCAAAATTTTTTACGTACTAAATACTTACATGAAATTGGTTATGCTTAAAATTTAATTATTTAATTTCCCTTTCCTTTTCTATCATTAGCCAATTAAACTAAAAATATAACAATTATGAAGGAAAAGAAATGTTTTGGCATTCCTTAGTCTTGTGAATACTCTTTCGCTTGCTCCTTCTCATTAGTACTGTACATTCACAGTCTTAATTTTGATAACATAGCAAGTAATTACAGGATAATGCAGTATTGATATTACTGAGTACTAGAACAGTAATTATTTTTAAAGAATACTCTGATATATGAATATTATAAACTACCTTAATGTTACTGTGATGCAAATATACCGAGTATGATCCATTTAAAATAAGCTCATGCAGCAACAAATCCCTTGCAGAATTTCTCTCAGAAGCTTTAAGACTTTTATCAGTATTTGGCAACAATCCGCAAATTATTTCCTTTTTATGGTTTTCAGATAAATTCGTAATTTAATGCTTAAAAACAAAACTTAGTGATTTCTCTAAATAGCAAACGTAAATGAGCGGAAGCAAATCCATTAAACTTTGTTTTTGCAATGTCTACTACAACACGTTGGAAATGTTGCCACTCACCGAAAAAAAAACCTTTGATGACAGCCCTTTAGTGTTCAGATACTACTAAACAAATTCCAGTAGCATTTGTATCATGTCAAACAACTTTTATTTGAACTTATGACGCATCTCTTTTCGAGTTATTCCAAATGCTTTGAATTTTCCCACAAACAATAATGTATTCAAGTATTTGGAGATGCGTTTTCAAGGCTAATCTGCCATAAAAACCGTTGTCATTGGTAATAAAATACGGATCTGAGCCTTTGATGTAAAAGTTTTAAAGAATCCGTACTGCGTGACAGTTGAATGTGAAGAATCTTAAGAACTAGTAAACGAATAATCGCTTGAGTTAGTGAAGTAGAAAACAACAAGTGAGAAGGGTGAAAAACCCTTTATTATTCCAACTAAAGTTTAACAGAACTCCGTCTTGGAGTTGTACAATAAAGCCGACACTCGCCCTTCAACTTAGGAAACTAAGAATTAAAACTTAACTAATCTCAACTAAAAAGATATAGCCGAAGCTATCAAAATTCTAACGGAGTTGGCCCCTTAGCGCTAATTTATAAGGTATTTCTCCGGCTTTCCTGGCGTGCTTTCTTGGTGTAGTGGTTCTGCACGCTGGACCGGTATTTCCAGAGGTCCGTGGTTCGATTCCCGGCGAGGGCGATTGCTCATTTTTCAGCTCACCTGCTTCTAAGAATACCTAATGTCTCTATAAATTGACTGCGAAGCTATTAAGGGCCGAGCGTAATAATAGCTTAAAAGAGAGTAGTCTAAAAAGGTGAACGCGTGCTAACCAGAATCTCTGGTTCTTTCTCACTGAGACAATAGAACTTCGTGGTTAAATAGCGCTCTTCCTCATTTGCATTCTAACGTGATTCTAAGACTACGTTCTGGCCGAAAGTGGTAAGATGAAATTAAGAAGCGATAGGAAAGGAAGTTTAACTCAAAATTTAGCTGTTAATTAAATTAACATAATCCTTACAAAGTAACTAAAAAAAGTAAAAATTGAATGAGGTTCGGAAGGTGACCCAGTGTCGACAGTAAAAATCTTTGATAATTGTAAAGTTATTATAATAAGTTAAAGAAATATCAAAAACCGCTAACATTTTTGGCGATCCTCTGCTGCAGATCCCGCGACCCACAGTTTAAGAAACTCTGAACTAGATTATCGCATTGAGTGGAAAAGCAACCATGACGTCACTGTTTGAAAAAAACGCTATCAGTGAACAAATGTCATCTCTATTCAAATTCCAGCTTGCGCAAATTCCATTTTACGTTTCTTTCCTTTTCACTCTCTTACTTTACAAAAGTTTTTCCAATTATTTCTCCTCTTCACTTTTTTTTATTTTACAAAAGTAATATTTTTTTAACAAGTTTAATTTTACCTCTCCGCTTTTTTTTACTTTAAAAAAAAATTGTACATTAAACTGTTGTAGAGACATTAGGTATTTTGGAAACAGGCAAGATGAAAAATTAGCAACGCTTTAGCCTGGAACCGAACCGCGGACCTCTGGAATACCGGCCCAGTGGGCAAGCCACTTCACCACGAAGGCACGCTAGGAAGGCGGGAGAAATACCTTATACCATACATTAAATTTAATATAAAATAATTAAACTTGTATACATTAAATATAATTTTTATATTTTTCTATTTACTCATGTGCAATTTTTTGTTCCTCTTTCATCATTTCTATTTTGTTTTCCGAAAATAACTTCTCATTTCTTTCTTTTCGATTTTTTCATTTTCGTTTAACAAATTAAAGTTTTTTATACTTTAAAAATTTTTTCTTGTTAATTTTTATTTTGCACTTAATTTTCTCTTGTTTTAAATACGTATTGGTGTTACATTTCCCAACAGTAAGCTTGCATATGTTATTCTGTCTACGAAATTTAAACTGTAATTAGTATGAAAATCATTTTACTCTGCAGGTCATTATGGATAACATTTACTGCAGATTAAAATCGACTTAAACTAGTATGTATAATGTTCATGCTAGATAATTTAATTGGAATAATTAATCAAAATATTGCATATCTTAATTTTCATACTACTAACACTTAATCGGAAATGTTCAGAACTTTCCTTCTCATGTATTATACTAATTACTAATGAGTGTACTAACTTTCGAAACATAATTACAAAGCATCACGGAATCCCTTTTATACATCTTACTTTTATTCAAAGGGATGACCAGTCTACGTCTGTGCTAAACATCACCTCATCACCTCTTTTACACATTTTACTCTTATCCAAAGGATTCGCCAAACTATGTGAAGCAAATGTAAATTTTATAGTTTCTACTTTCTATTTACATATTATATTTTTCCTTATATTTAATTTTCTTTTTTTCTTTTAAAACATATTCATATTACATTTCTGATGCTTTTTTTCAAAAAGTGACTTTCACAAATTTCTTTACAGCAAGACCTACAAGCTTTGAATCAAACCTTATAATTCAGACTTGACAAATTTTCATGGCATAACGTCTATTTAAATCAATACATGGGTATTTATAACCAGTTTAGTTCAAATACATACAAAAAAATTACATTTCATATTATGTTATATATAGTATTTTATGCTAGAGATATGTATATGAATATAATAAGGACTCTCTCTTTTATTCAACAGAAAGAGTCACTTATATTACTAACACAGACTAACTCTGAAACAATTTCACAACTTACCTTAAACCACCAAACGTAAGTTAAAACTTGATTTTCATCTTGTGGAGACTTCACTCGGATTGCTTAACAGGATACTACCATCTACAGCACAGCCTCATAATAACTATTATATTCGAACTTGCAGATTCAAATTTTAACATACCTGAGTTTATACTTCAAAATAAAACATCTTTGAAACGTATCATAAATCCAAAGTTAGACAGGAAAATGTAATAGATGACCCAAAAATAGTAAGACAAAAACAGAAATAAAAGTTTTCGTACGTAACTGGTGAGAATGAAACATAGATTTTCAACAACATTTCGGGAAAAAAGTGCCGGAAATAGAAATGCTGTTCTAAATCACTATTTAGACCCACAAGGAAAGTGCTTTTGAAGGAGACTTAATCCACTGCACAATTATGCATGCATATTTTAAACATGTATTTAGTCACGCCTTTAAACACCGAGACATTTTTCAATAGCTTAATTACTAAATTAATCCTGACTATTTATCCTGAGTGATTTATTTGATGCATCTAGATTTCTCGGTTTTCCAAGCTAATTCCAAAATCCGTTTCACTGCTCGTTTTGCTCAAACACTGTAGCTTTTCGAATTTAGCTCTTCCAAATCGTTCTTTCTGTTTATATTATGCAAGCATTGTAGCTCTTTTGAATCTGCGTAGCCTTTCGAATCACACTCTTAACTTTCTTAACAAGATACATAGAAATGAAGAGAATTTCAAAACTGTAGCGTATTATTCTAATTCGAATCATAACTAGATCTGTAAGGAAGAACCCAAGACAAAGTCTGAAATGCACAGTTAATTGATGTGCGAGCATAGAAATGAAAGGTGTCTTCTTTCCTGAACTTGAAATATAAAAATTTCTAAACTTTTAATATTTTTTCCTGACAGTATCCCAATTAAATTTAAATAATCTCCAAGCCTTTTAGCGTATCAATTCAAACTTAAACTAAAAAAACAACCATTTCAGACTGACATCATTTTATTTCATACTGAACTCTCACAGCTTTTTGAGAATATCTGATTGAATATTTCAGAATATTAGAGAATATTTCAGTTTATCGCAGTTAGAAAAAAATCACGTGTAAGCATCATATGAATTGAATTCCAAATAATAATCCAGCAGAGCAGTGAACGTAAAATTTTTAACACATCCATTCTGATTTGCATTTCAAATTGACCTTACTTTATTTAAACATTGAAACTTTGCAGCTCTTTGAAAACGCTTTACATTTAATTTATCGTAGAACATGAGAAGATTTGACATATTCCTTAGCAGATAATCATAAACATCATACATAGCAGGCAATATTGGCATTAACTTCATGTAACAATTAAGCATAGTAGGTATCTTAAACAAACTTCTAACATATTTAACTACGACTTGATGTAAAAAAGGCCACATTTTCAAGACAGCATTATTTTTATTAAACAAATGAGTCAAAAAATTCTTTGAACATAGATTATGACATTTTATTTATCATGAACATGACACATATAAAGTAAACAAAATGTGTTTGATAAAGTATGAAACACATTTTTATCTTTTAACCGGCTCTATTCTTAAGAAAAGGAGAGTTAGTATGAAAGATTAGAACCATTCCGTATTAGTGTTCCTCGTTT